GCACGTGCTCACACCCGCTGTGCGCACCAAACAAATTTCTAATCTTCCCCTTGCTTTTTATCACACATAACCAAATCCGACGCCAGTAGTAATAATTTTCTTTGCTTTTCTGCGATTTTTCTCATTTTCCATGTGAACAATGGCGTCTTTCAAACGTCGTGGCGCATTTTTATTCAGTCGTGACACACGTTTTGGTTGCGTTTTAATATGCGCCGCAATAATAGAAAGATAGGGATTGTTAGTCGGCGCGACGTCTTCAAGATGTGCACACCGACTCACAACTGGCGGGTGGGAGGATGAGTTTCGATTTTCGAAACCGCCGAAACGGCACTTGAGCGGCGCGCCTGGCGTCCACTCGACGCGCGCTCGTCAAAATCGTTTTTAACGAGATAATTACGACGAGTTTGTTTATTTAGATAAGGGATCTTTTTTATACCTTCACGAGACGCGCTCGAGTGGCGGACTCAAGATATTCTCGCGTTTCCTTTAATATTTTTCACGTCGTTGTGGTCGCTGGCATCTTGCCACACACACCGTGCTTACAAATTAGTCATCGCAGCAACCAAAACGTATAATCATGCACCCGTTCGATTTATGTGAGTTTATTTGAGTTAATAAGAGTTAATTTATTTCCTATAATGTTTTAATCTGTATTCCCAGTGACTTTAATAAGTATCCAATTAATTCTCGTCTGGCAAAGCTGTCTGCGCGCTTTGTGCGCGCCGGATTCTTGCATTTCATATTAAAGTTTAATTGACGCGCGCGTACGTGACGGCATTTCAATTGCCCCCAGAGATAAGTCGTCGACGACAAGTCACACTTTTATTATTTTCTAGGGAGGCACGGACTTTCGCCCTCGGCATCACAGACACATGACAATCAAGTCATTTTAATCATTCATCAAACGGAATTAAAACGTTGAATTAAATTTTTATAAAATTTTTTAAAAACATAAATAGATATCAGTGAAATCAACTTATCAACCCGAAATGTAATTGATTATTTACTCTAGTCGATTACGCACTCCATCATTCTTCTCCCGGGTGTGGTGCGTCGAGGAAACTCACACAGTTGATAGTTTTCACGCCCGTTTAGCACCCGTCGAACAAGGGACGAGCCGAGATGGTTTGTCCTCAACCGAACAAGAGGGTTGCAACACGCACTTACGTGTAATACTTGTGTTACACTTGTTACAATATCCCTCCTGGCTGCTGGCTTTTTGCTAAAAGTGGTAATGGAATAATACATTTGATATTCGTTTGTTTTCTTGCTTGGAAATTCCCTTTGAATTAATGTTTTGCACTTTCTTACACTTATTTTATACCCGCCAGCGTTTCTTGCGCATGTTTATGTGAATTTTATGAGTAATGCCCAAAGTTCACATTTAGTGTGCGTCGGGTTGTTATACGCGTGTAATTGTTGCGCGCCCCGAAACTGGGGGAGAGATATATGTTTTCGGATGTGTATAGGGTTTGGTGGGTCTGCAAACGTCCCCTTAGGGGGACACAACAGCTAGTCATTAGGGCATTACACCGAAATTAATTTACAAGTGTGTTACCAGTTGTTACTTAATGAATAAACTTTACCTACGAGTGTCCCCGCCGGCCCAGCGCTTAAATTCGATGCAAAACACAACATTAACACCCTCACAATGCCGAAACCCAGAAATAAATTACATACCAACTGTTTAAATGAATAATATTTACAAAAAATTATAAAAATTCAATTTTACACAAAAATCGACTGAAAATCATTTTTTCTTTAGAAATATTTTGTTTTAAGTTGAACTGAATAAATTGTTGTGTTTATTGTGATGCGTGTATGCTACGGTATGCTTAAATTCTAAATTATATATCGGGGCGGGGCGTCAAATCATTAATTGCTTTTGCTATTTGCGCACAAACTCTCTCGCCGCTAGAGAACGCTAAAAGCCAAGCAAACGCGCCGCGTGCACGAGCGAACAAAGCAAGCCGGGCGCGATTGGAAAGAGGCGGCGGCGGCGGCGGCACTGTGGCGGCGAGAAACATGCGAAAATTAATTATTACGGTTGTAATTATTCCATTTGCCAGTTAACTGTTTGCCATTTGTCGCACATTTGTCGCACAATTCGGCGAATTTCCGAACTAACTCGCGTTTTTGTTTCGAAACCCACACACAGAGCAGCTATAATTAATTATAAGTAAATCCAATATTAATTAATAACAGAATTACAATTTTTTCTATCAAATTCATAGAGGATTTCGCTAAAATTCAGAATTTTCAATCGGTTTGTTTCTATTGTTTTTAGTTTCCAAGATAATCGCTGTTAAAAAATCAAAAAAATTAAAAATTACCAAAAATTTGAAAAAATTTTGAAAAAAAGTGTTTACTCTGTATTTATAAAGAAAATTGATGTTATTTCCAAACATTAAGCATTCAATTAACAAATTGTGCCCAACTCGCCTGATTTCACCCGCAATAACACAAAAACCCAAAAGAAAAAAAGCATTACTTGTATATTATCGATTTAATAAAAGTAAAAAAGTTTCCTTGTGTGTTGCTGGTATTAACTCGACACAAGGGATGTTAACATGAAGAATACCGAACACAGAAGGGGAGTGCGCCTGCATAAATGTAACAACGTGTAACGTGTTCGCTCCTGAGGGACTCCTCGATCAAATGAATGCTAATGCCGACCGATTCGATGCTCTAAACATGATGGTAAACATCACTTTTCGCGTTTTAGTCAACGTCTCCGGAGATTTGCCACTGCAGATCAATTTTGACCCAACGTCGTTTAATTTACTTATTGTCACCGCGCTCGATAAAATCTCATTTTTATTCATTGCGTTGTGAATAAGTTATTTGTGTGAGAAAATTATTTTTCTCTCAGGATACGAAGAGAAGTGGCTTGTTTTGATTGATTAAATTCAGCACACGAAAGTCCTAATCCCGTTGAAGCTGGAAACTAATTTTCGCACACTAATTTCCCTTCTAGTTCAAGCGTGTCGAGACACACACAACGCGATTAAGCCCATATTGCACGCGAAGGAAGTTCTTGCGGCGAGTCGCATCTAATTTGTACGACGCCGGGACTTACGTTTCGCTCTCCGGTCAATTGACTGTGCTTCGGCGATCGGCTTATCGACTTCCGGATTACGCATTGTCCTCTTGCCAACCCGTGCCGAGCTGGGTAGTGATAATATTCGGTTATTCGTCACACGAATTTCACAACCCTTTGTTGTGTTGGTCAAGGGTGAATTTTCCCCTCTGCAAACCCTTTTCGTATTTATTTGCCGTAACGAATGCAGAATATGTGTGTTTTTTGCGTTTGTGTAAATTAACGATTGTGATCAAACCATCAATCGTGAAATTGTTTCGGGATTTGAATTATCCGCACACTGCACCAACAAGAATCGAAGTGTGGAGGTGACAATTCCTCTTTCCCCAACAGCAGTCGCATTCCTGTTCGTAGCATTGCAAGATGAAAAAAATAAAACACGAACGCCTGCACGCAGTATGTGTGCGGATTCGATAAATCTGACAAATTGCGAGTGGCAGATCAATTTGTATCTACTTTATTCGGTTCGATTGCTCTTGCCGTTAGCGTAACGACATTTTTCATGTTATTTCTGAACACTCATGCTCACTTTCAGCCCCCGACAGCATTAAATATGTTTATTTGCGTAAATTTCGTAAATTTGTTAATCACCCATTAGCCTTTAACCTCTCTCTCGTCGAAAACAACAAAATAATGGGCAATAACGAAATGTTTCGATGCGAAACTTTTTCGCTTAATTAGTGCAGCGCACACGGCAGCTACTATTACCAATAACGAAATAATAAATTGCTACATTAAGCAATTAAAAGTCAACAACTCGCTCTTGACGGACGGGTAACTCGCAGTGCATCAATGCCTAATATCGGCCGGCTTCATTAAAACTAAGCAAATCCTACTCGGGTTACGTCATTATTAAACCGCGTATTATTTCGTTTCTTTCACCCTAATTCTTTGTAGAAAAACAAAAAAATTCGGTTTCTCTTAAAATTCAAATTAAAACCGAACCGAAGCATGCATTTGGTAAGTGTGCGCGCGCACAATTAGCAGTCGGCGATAATTACTTCGTTAGTAAAATTCCTGCCAACTAAAACTAATAGTACAAAATGTCTGGCGTAAGTTTAATTAAGACGGAGGTAAAACGCTGCGCGGAAGTTTCGCAAGTTTTCGAGACGAGCTGTACGCGCAAAATTTGTTGACGGGCTTTTTGATAGAAACTCATTAGTCAAACTAAAGCACAAACTAAAACTATGCAATAAATAAAATTTTAAAACTTTTTTTGCCTTTAAACCCCTTAAAACCAAGAATTTATTATGTTTTTGCTCTTAAATTGGTTAATAAACAAAATATTTTTTATTTATTTTTTTAATCTTAGACGTTGATCTGTATACTTTTCGCTTAGATTTGTCCGGTACTTGTGCGCGCAGCAATAGCGGCCATTATGGGGCGTCGCGCGTGGGGCCAATGAGACATGGCGCACAAGCGACGCCAATCGGCGCCGCAGCGCGCACCAAGCACGAAACGAAACGGACGCTTTTTGTTCTCGACACATGCAGAACGCACAACGGCGCACACAGCTACCTACCCCGCAACCACCCCAGTCGCCTTTCTACATCAGCACCCTCTTTGTGCGTGTGTGTATGCATGCATACTGCGAATATAAGGAATGGATAATTAGTGGGCCGCGCTTCGTCGCTGGCGAAAGGGGGGCGCTCGCGTATGATTATGATTTATAATTGCCGCGCGCTGCGCCCTTTCCGTTGCCACCCTTGCCCTCCAACGTCTTGCAATGGCTTTTGAGGTGGGGGTGACAAGCAGAAGAAAAAAACTACCCCACCATAACCACCCTTCTTTCATCTACATAGGTATATAGTCTTATTAAAAATGTTGTACAAACACTGACTGTGTATTTGTTTTTAATTTTCAGACGAAACAAAAAAAGAATAAAAAATTAAGTACTAACCTGTATTCGATCTTCAGGAAGATCTGTTTTCAGACTTAGCATCTCCCTCGCGTAGACGTCCGGATAGTGCGCGTCTTTGAAAGCTTTTTCAAGCTCTTCCAATTGATAACTCGTAAAAATAGTCCGGCTGCAATTAAATTACAATAAACACAATAAATAAATATTAATAAAATGATTATTTATTTACCTATGTCTCCTTTTCTTCTTTTTCTTCTTGTTGAAGCCTCCCAAACCGTCAGTAATTGAAAAGTCTTTGGTATTGTCTAGTTGACCTGCAAAAAATAAAAAAATAAATTTTTAATTAATTTGTGAAAATTTACGATTTTGATACATTTGCACAACGTCTCCATTACCTTCCCTCAGTAAAAAAAGAAACGTGATAATAGCGCATTAGGGGGAGTGCACGACACGCCGAAAAAGCGGATGTAAACAACCCTCCCAAAGTTGCCGCGCGGAGAAGTAGTCTAAAAAGATCCCATTTATTCGCCTTAAGGACTTCATTTAGCGCGGGGTGCGTTAGGTAGCTGCTCCACCACTACCACCACCAGCAAGATGACTATATCGTATCTAAGACTAGCGCGCCGAAATTGGAGTTTAAATTTCACCCCGGCTTTATTTCGGTGAAAGCGGAAAAACGTCGAAAACGCGCTTTTGTTTAGCTTTCAACACACTGCAAAAAAGAACCAGCCGAGCAAAATAATACCTACACCGGCGGTTTCAATTTGTGTTTTTGTGCAAATTACATCGATTTGCTGCGCGCGCATTGTTCACAATTCTATGGATACAAGAAAGTATTTCCGGAAATTCGCATTGTTAGCGTTTGCAATTCATGCGCACAACTAGTAGTAATCAATGCGAAAAAATCAACTGATTGATTGATTGATTGATTGATGAATGAATGAATCACTAAAATTTTTTTATTGTAGAATTTCTGCGTGAATATATCCAGGATAGTCTTGTTTTTGGGGTTGTGCGCAAATAAAAGCAGGCGCATTCTCCGGGGACGGCTTGACGGTCGATTAAGGTCGTTTACGTCGGGGGTTAGAGTTCGTACGGTTCGGACACGCATTAGGACCACTCGGGGCTTCATCTCCGGGAGAGTATAATGTACACTTCATCAATTTGATTATAGCTAACCCACGAAAATTGGACGAGATTAAAACTAAAACTAAAATGTTTTTAGTGAAAAAAAATTTTTTTCTGAAAATTTTCTTATCCAAATGATACGTGACTGAGTGCTTTGGCTGACGAAACGTTTAAGCATTTTGTGTGTTTTTTTTTGTTTTTCTTTAGTGGTTGCCACTGCGAGGCGCAATTTCTCTCCGCTGCATTTTAAAACTCCTGAATTAGTAATTCACTTTATACGACCGGACCAACCACTCGACGCCGTAAGTCGTAGGTGGTTGTTGAAGGTGGTTGTGGGCTGCGCACGTCCCATCACGTGTCCGACGTGTTCCGCCGTGGCCATTCGGTTTTATTGCCTCGACATACGACGCGCAACTTTACACCTCGTCGCGAATAAACCAACTCGACAACTCGACACGAGAAATATTCGCACAGCGCATAAAAATGTACTCGTATTATTTATGCATGTTGAATAAAACGATTTTTTTCGTTTGTTTGTACAACATTGAGTGGTTTTAATTAATTAACCATGGCGTCAAATTGATTAATCATAAAATTATTAATGACAATAAAATTTTCATGCTTCAATTGCGCACAATTCGAATAATTGACAATTATTTTCAATTAATTATAAGCATTAATTAATCATAGTGACGACGACGAAATGAAATAATTTACTAAAAGGGAAAAGCACGTTTATATAGACATATAGTACGTTTTTTTCTTCTTTTTCTTCTTTTGCTTTGGGTTTTGTTCCATTTTATTTTTTTTTCGTGAGCTTGACGCACGTTTCGCTAAGCTATTAGCGCTGCCATGTCTGCTATTAGGCGTAGAAGCTTTCGAAGCTTTCGAGTTAGTTACGTCTTGAAGGCAGAGCAAAGCGCGCACAATGGACTAATTGGACGGCGTTTTCTTGAATAATTAACGTCTTTAATTTAATTGCCCCGGAGGCGCAGCGCTGTCTCGGCTGCGTCGGGATTTTAATTGGTTTTGCGTAAAAATAGTAAAGGCGACACATTTTTCGCACCTTTTTTTCTCATGCGCACGCAACGCGTTAATTAAAAATGTTCAATCTCCATTAAAGCGATTTAATTAACAATCGACGCATTTTTATTCCACGAGCTGCGCAAATTGAATTCACAACAACAAAAAAAATCTAGTTAACTGTATATTGATACTTATACATTGAAATTCTTTGATAATCCGGAGTTTTTCTTGCACGTCGGATGTGCGTAATTGAAAATTGCCCATATGTCGGATTTGGAATCCAAGTTCGCGCGTGGCAAATAACTAATCGAACCCAATATCCTCGCCGGCGCGCGTTTCCATATATTTTTTTCTCATCATCCGCCGCCGAAAATTCAATTATTGAAACGGCGCGCCAGAGGGGATTCCCTTGAGGCGGCGCTGGTCCCCATCGGGGGCGCGCGCTGGGATTTAAATTCACTCGCACTCGAAACGAACCACTTGATAATATGCCATGTTAACTTTAGTGCCGTGCGATGCAGCTTAACAACTCATCTCGGCTATATAGTGATCACGAGAAGTGAAACGTGACATATTTCGATTAATTTGCGTTTGTTTCTTATGTGTGTTGAAATACGCATGAGTATTTTGCAAGTCAAACAAACTGCTTGAGATGTAAAGATGTAAAGACAGAGATCAAATAGATTGTCTAGTGCCTACTCGAATTGTTGAATATTTTGATTTGGAGATTTTGCTGTCAGTAAAGTGGAATATTATGATATTAACGTGTTAAAAATTTTATAAATTTATGATTTCTTGAGTTTTTATTAAAATAAAGAATTTATGTTTTTCTTTAGTCAATTTCAAAGATTTTACTTTGTTTAACAAATTAAAAACGTAAATAGCTTTTCAAAAACCTGGTAAATTTTAATATTTTACCATTTTTGTTATTTTTTAATGAAAAGTCAACTGTAAAAGGTAAAAAAATTATAGATTTTATGTTTTCCTTTGGTTAATTTTAAAGATTTTACTTTGGTTAACAAGTTAAAAACGTAAATAACTTTTTAAAAACATTGAAAATTTAAGTTTTTGACCATTTTTGTGATTTTTAATGAAAAATTTATCATAAAAAGTAAAAAATTAAATATTTTTACTCTTGAACTATAAATTTCTAACATTTTTATTAGAGATATTGTGATATTAACTTGATAAAAACATAAAAATTTAAGTCTTCTTCAATTTTTATTACTTTGTAGTGAAAAATCAGCTCTAAAAGTTTAAAAATCGATTTTTTAAATTTTTGTAATTCAAATTTCAAAGATTTTGTTTTGACAAATGCGTTAAGAACATAAATAGCTTTATAAAAACAAAATAAATTTAAGTTTTCTTCAATTTTTGTTACTTTGTAGTAAAAAATCAACTCTAAAACATCAAAAACTAAAGATTTTACGTTTTTTTCTTGTAAATTTCATAGATTTTACTTTGATTTACGAGTTAAAAACGTAAATATGTTTTTAAAAACACAATAAATTTAAGTTTTTAATCATTTTTATTAATTTTCATTAAAAATCAACGCTAAAAACCTAAAAAATTAAAAATTTTGTCTTGAATTGTGAATTTTCTAACATTAAACGCATTAAAAACATAATAAATTTACGTTTTCTATAATTTTTCCTTTTTGCAATAAAAACCAACTCAAAAGAGCAAAAAATCAAAAATTTTATATTCTTATATTCTGAATGTCTAAGATTACGATTACGAAATCTCTCCGTTCCCCAAGATTCATGGCAGCAATCGACGCGGAAAAGTAAATTGTCCACCGCAGGAATTATTATTAAATTTGCGGAGCAGTCCGCGCAGCCAAAACACTATATACGTCGTCGGCGGGCTGCGGCCATAACATCCAATCAGTGTGGATTTATGCGCGCACAAGAAGCGGGTGAGCCTTGTAAATTCCGCCGCGGGCGGTCCGCGACCAAATCCAATTGTGTCAACGCATAGTAGATTAAGTCGATTGATATTTGGGCGCGGGCCCAGCACTATTCACATTCGAACCATTCGGGGATCATAGATTAAGTGCGTTTGTATTCTCTCCCAGCCACATTAGAACATATTATAAAATGGGAACATGAGCAATCTCAAAGACATGCAATTCAAGCGATTTATGTGCAAATAAAATAGATTATAATGTATTCGAGACGTGTAGGGGACTACAAATGCGATGTTGATTGAATAAACATTGAGATTATATCAATATTTACGTTTGGAGGAATTAAAACATCTCGGTTTGTTTTTTGTTGTGTAGTGTTGTGTAGTGTCAACCATCATGCAAATCTTTGACATCACTCATGATTTCATGGGTTGGGCTATCGAGTGCCAGAGTTTGCGTTCGCGCAAAAATCCCCTCGACTAATATTGCGATTTGCCATCATTGTATGTCGTGAGGTGTGTTTTATGCTCGCAATCACAAAGCCTCCCCAGCATCTGCATGAGCATGAATCCCTCTCTCTTCCGCAATCAAGTCATCCATCATGACTTTCGAGACCCCTTCAATTGACATTTCATTAACGAGACAAATTACTACAACTTAATAATAAACAAATCGAAAAAAAAATGAAAAAATAAATTTTTATAAAGTGAGGTTATAAAAGTGAGGTTATGGATATTCTACGATATGTGTGGGTTATGTCGTTTTTTTTGTTTATTATTTTGGCCAAGGTGATATTCATACAATTCGCATAGGTGGAGTTTTTCACACCTTCATTCCTTTAATTCTTCGACACCTCCATTTCATCACCTGACCTGTTTCTCGAACCCATTCAGCCTTTTGTCTCTTTGGGGCTGTGTGGTTCCTTTGGTCCTGCTCTCGTTTGATTTCGCACACGTTTCGGTTTTGTTTTCGTTTTCGTTCTGATTCACACTTCACACCTTTTATAATCGTCTTTTCTTTTCGGCCCGGTCGCGCCGGATGATGGTTTATTATTTTTGTAAAATTTTCAAGTATGATTTGAGCACAAGATAGAAATCTCCAGCGTAATTTGATATCGGGAGTGCGTTGAGTTAAAGTTAGAATTGGATGTCTTAATTTTAGGTTCACAGACGCGCCTTGGACGTATGTGACGTGTCAATGTCTTTTTGCCCTTCGTCTTCAAAGTGTTTGATATTTAACTAGGATGCAACA